AAAATAATTCTGAATTATCAGGGCCCGGTCAGTTCAATGATATCTGAAGGCCATCGCCTTTTTTTTTTTTTTTTTTTTTTTACTATATATCACTCCCTATTTTTTTTCTCTCTTTTTTCCGTTTTTTTTTTTTTTTTTTTTTTTTTTTTTTTTTTTTTTTGGAAGGCAGTTCTGTTTGACGATATCTTTTACAATAAATGAGGGGCTGTCACAAACTCTTTCGTCGGAGTTTCACCGACTGACAGACTCGTCATCAGGGGACTCGAGGCTGAAGCCGCTGATCCATGTATATCGTCAAACAGTGCGAGCTACGCGTGCCGCGCTAACCGTCATAAGCTACGAGTGAGCGAATTCACGTCTGAGCCTATGACCTGACAAGTGTGAATTGAGATTGATATAACGACTGTCGATGTATCGAAAACTTGAGCCGTTGTGAATGAAAGGGGGTTGTGAAATTCGACCGTAGGGTTGAAGCCGCGGTTGTGGGGCAGGCAGGCCGGCGAGGTCGAGATGATGTAGAAGGGGTCCTCACACGGGGGTGTGTTTGGGGGGCCCATGTACAAGAAGGAATGCGGAAATTTATCCCTTTGAATGAATTTTATTTCTTGTACAAGGAGTTTGGGGGTGTGTTTGGGGGCCCCTCCCTTGTACAAGAAGGAATGCGGAGTTTTATCCCAAGCTCCTTTTCGTGTTCCGCTCGAAAGGAAGAGACGATTGTGAAAAAGACGATTTGAATGAGAAATCTCTCAATCATTGCTTCACCAAGAAGGAATGCAGGAATTTTATCCCTGCTTCTCCAAGACAGTATGGGCGTAATTGTCGGTAGTAAAAAAATAAATAAATAATAAAAATAAAAATGAAAATAAAATAAAATAATAAAATAAAATAATAAAATAAAATAATAAAATAAAATAAAATAAAAAAATACAAAAAATTGTCGGTAGTTAATCGATTGATCGAAGCGGTTGGCGGAGCCTTGTAGGTAGGGAAGGTAGGGAGGGAACATACTAAAAATATCCATCCATCTAAAGCAAGAACATTGATATAGCAAGCAAGAACATTTATATAGCATGATGGATATAGATGACGGGTCGCATTCGTTTGGAAATCGACGGAGCAAAAAAAAAAGGGGTACGGAGCAAAAAAAAAAGGGTACGGAGCAAAAAAAAAGGGGAAAGGTGATGGGCCCCCAGTCGTTCGTTCGATTCGCGCACCGTCTTCAGCTGGAATTGAACGCCCAGTCATTGTATATCTGCATCTGGCGTTCTGCTCGTGCGAAGACGGTCATTGTATATCTGCATCTGTCTTCTTCTCTCGTTTCTTCTCTCGTTGCTGGCGTTCTATGATCCTATGGGTTGAAGACAGAAACGAGAGAAGAAGACTGGAAAAGACTGGAAAAAAATGCATCTTACTCACTCCAGTGGTCGGAGATCATTGGCCACTGGCCAAATTCGGTGAATGTGTTGTGGGGAAAAAAATTGCATCTCACAACAGTTGATGTCAGGTCGTCGCCTTCATGATCCCGGACAGGAGGCTGCGCGCGCGGGGGCTCTTGTTTTGCTTCCTTTGGGTCTGCCCTCGCGGTTTGGCAAAAGACAGAAAAGAAGGGGAAAAAAAGAACAAAAAAAAAGAGAAAAAAAAAAAAGAAAAAAAAAGAGAGAAAAAAAGGGGAGACTACGCCGGAGTCAAAAAAAAATGAGGTATAATTGCAGTATGGGCCAAGATACAGTTTCGAATTGCAGTTTCAAATTGGGAAATGTATACAACCCAGCTTTCTGGCCAGGTGTAGGGTGCCCGAAGTGTAATTGCAAACTGTATCTAAGGATAAGAGGAACGAAGTAGGGGAACGGAGAGGTTGGGGGGGGAAGGTGAGAATGGTTACATTCCTCCCTCTCTCAGGCTCTCC